AAGGGAAAAAGAACTATACCTAGGGTATTCTTTCCTCACCCTAGGGAAACCGAGATTCCCCCACCAATGGTTCCCTAGGGCGATTTCCCTAGGGGATACACTAGGGAAACCCCTTTCCATAGCATTTTTGCCCATTTGCTTAGGGTATCAGGCCCTAGGGCTATTTGCAAAATCTAGTAGTGAGTACCAGAACTTATAAAGAATGTTAGCTTTCGATTGGACCCTTGCTGATTCATTTCGACCACAGTACTAGAACCCAGGTTGTTACAACACCACTTTGTAGTTTTGTTCCTCAGTAGAAAGTTGCTTAGCTGACGTTATAGCATGAGGTCTGCTGAACTTTCCCTGTCATGCCTTTGGTTCCTACACGATGTTGCATTTGCCTGGCAATGTCGTGTCTCTCTAGACACAGGTGAATGCACTGGACTTTTTGAGGTCGAGGCCACCAATAGCATATGCCAAGGGCGTCCATTGACAACCTGCCCAATGCTGGATTCACCGAGGAGGTACAACCGGACACGTTGTCGGCTGCCTGCTCGTCTGGAAACTACACAATATCTCTGAACCCACTATCCTCTAATGCATGAATCTCTATGCTCAATTGGGCTACAACTAATTTATCATCGTTTCATCTTATTGCAAACATCATGTTTTTTCATTGAAAGAAAGAATATTAAGAAATATTTTCTCATTCTATTGTAGCAATAGCGATTGTATGAATAGTGATACTATGTTCGACCGTTTGTTCTTGTGGCTTCCTGGCCATGGGCGCTTTACTGCTTTGTTCCAGAAAAAATCTGGTATGTTTATTCTGCTGGTACAACTACTCTTTGGCTGGGACATTTTGGCTTGGAATAACATAAATGAACCTACAATTTCTTAATATTTTATATCACTTTTTGTATTGATGTCCTTGTGCACACCATCTGGATGCTTTGAAAGTATTTACCCGGCTTTCTTTTGATTTGAGTTGTCTTTATGTCAAGGACTATTACATAGCATTAAGAAAGGCCGTAGTTAACCAGAATAACAACTGCGACATTTCCTTGCAGAAAAACTATAATGTTACTTGCAGTGGTGATGATAGCGGGTCTTCCGAATCGCTTCCTCAGCCTAACAACGCAACCTACAAACCAACTGTTATCAACATCAGTATGATGCTGGTAAGCACACCACGACAGATTTACTTTTTAAAACCTACTGCTTATACTCATCTTTAAACCTCTTACTGTTTATAGCTATGTAGGACCTTCGCATCGTTGCATGAAAGCCAAGAAAAAAAGAAAAAGGAGCATACATCACATGGTACAAATCGTCTACCATTACCATTGTCATGCCATTATACCTAATTTTATTTGCCTTCCTATTCATACTAATCTTTGAAACCCTCTTCATGATTATCATCATACAACACCTACAACTAAATACATAAAACTGAAGAAGGCTGAATACAAGGCCTACAGAACCCGTACGATCAAACAATGTGTTCATTTGCTCTACTAATACCAGTACATGCATATGCTTACACCAATCATTTTATATACCATTGAATACGGGCACCCGACACTATCTACTTTCTAAGCTTTAATGGTCACTGCAGATGGGGAAACAAAGTGAGGCTATACATGAAGCGGCTCACACGTTTGCCACTCAAAGAATGCCAAGACCCTATACACATCACCTGCAATTATATATACAATTCTTCTTAGTGTTGTTACCTTTCATTTCCAATGTTTCTTTTCTCAGTGTTGTTACCTTTCATTTCCAATATTTCTTTTCTCAGTGTTGTTACCTTTCATTTGCAGTATTTCTCGGTCAGTTTTACCCAGAAATATCTCCGCCGTTGTATGACTTGCCAATAAAATCTAGAGATGGAAATCACTGCATCAAAGCCCATCTATTCAAAGGAGTCGATAACAGGGCAACAATTACCAGAGGCTGGGCAGGCTTCTCCCCCACAGCTAATATGAAGGAACGAGAAATATATGCCTTTGCCTTCAAGCGCAACTACAAGCGCTTGCGTCTCACCGTGCATGCCCTCTGAGCATCGTGTTCAATCTACTAAACTACGTAATTAGCCTATGAAGTTCTTTATGTATAGCTTCACCCTAAGAACATGTTTGCTTTTGGCACTGGACTCTCTGTTCATCATGTTTAGTCTACTAAACTACCTAAATAGCCTATGAAGCTCTATGTAGCTTCACCCTAAGAACTGTTTGCTTTTGGCACTACTCTCTGGTATGTATAAATTTGGAATCCATGATGCTTTGTTAGATCCGTGTAATATATATAATTCATCACCCAGGGTGCAGAATAAGTTATTCTTCATCCGAGGTAATCTTACGATCATTTGATAATTAAATTACATTTCGAATTCAAATAGTTACATTCCTATTGATTCACTACGTAAAATTTGACATAAGAAAATAAAAATATAGGTCATAAGACAAGAACATTTGCAGTTTATGTGTATTTTAGACTATGTTTTTATGTTTGTAATTTTACATAACATAAAATATTTTTTTACGGCGATTATATTTTTAAGGTCTCTTTTTGCGTCGGAAATAAGACAAAACTTACAGAACGTAAAATTACGGTGCATTGATGATAAAATAGAGGAGGGTGAAGAATAATTATTCCTCACCCAGGGTGACGAATAGCGCGACCCTATATATATATATATATAATGCAATTTTTATATATATTTAGGGAAAAGCTTTCTGCTTCTGTGACCAAAGGAACCCATTTACATTGCCCTATATATGATCGTAAATCAATATCCCAGAAGACCTAAAAGGGAAATTAATACTTCCTGAAATCCAACACTATTATTGTATCCGCCATCATATCCAAAATTGCTTACCTCCTCTTCTAAACATTCTTCTTTTGGTCTGAAAATCAATTTAAGTCATCCTACTATTTGTAATACAATCCACATTGCATTATCTTCCATCTACATCTCCTACTTACTCACTACTAACATCGCTTCTAACTCGCATTTTGCATCATTGGCGCAACCAGGTCATCTAGTTAATATCGAAGCTCATCAACTCATCTTGTGAACGACGAGCCCTTACAGGGTTTGATCCCACACGGGCGCTCACTTTTTTCATTGAATTTTTCGTTGTTCTAGCGATTAATGGACCGACCCAGTCAAGAGCCGTCCCTATGCGGGGTACGACATATAGGAGCTCCCTGCCGTGATAAATAATTCGTACCACCTCGAATGGTTTTATAGTTTTATTTTAAAAAGAGTATGGTGAATGAACCAAAAAAACAAGAGAAACACACCTCTTTTTATTATTAGGTATAAATATAGATATAGAGAGAGATTGCTTCAAACAATTGCATGAAGATCGGTATGCATACATTTTTCTTTTCTGAAAATTACATATAGGTGTCTCAATTTTGAAAATTACATATATAATCTTCGTCGGTCGTTTTTTTTTCATGGCAATACGTGTCTCATTTGTATGATCATATTACAAGCCAGCCACGTACCAACGGACCTGCTAAAACAGAAAAGACAACAAAACGCCAGCCTTTGCACAAAGGAACAACATCCAAGAAGTAAAATTACAGTCAAGACCGAAGAAACCTCCGAACTTGACACCAACGCCCGTCACAGGCCTCTGGAACCACCATAGCAGCCACCGAAAAAAAATGACGGATCACCTTCACACCGAGCTTGAAGCGGTTCTATCGCTGATATGCAGCTTTGCGGACCTCCAAGGTAGCTCACCAGAAGCCAAACCATTACCGTTGAACGAAGCAACACTCCGGACACGCTATCGAACTCCAGATCTGTCGTCCCCACACGACTAAGATGCCGGAGGAGAAAACCCATCTGCAGGGCCGGCCCTAGAGTTTCAAGGGCCCCAGGGCAGACTCCAAGAATGGGCCCAACGGCTGCGGTGGAGAAAATAGGAATTCCATAATTTGATATGGGAAAATTCTTCCACTAAAAAATGATATGGAAAAATTCTTGCAAAGTCATAAACTATAATATAATTTTCTGCTATAAATAGTACTTCATTTCAAATTGTCTAGATACATCCGTATGTGGACAAATTTAAAATAAATAATTTGGGACGGAAGTTGTATTTGACATCTAATTGCTTTAGATTATCAGTACTCCAAAAAATAAATTTATTCATAGCCTCCTTCTAACCTAGGGAACATGTTTGTAAAAACAAAAAAGACCACACCTCAACTTTGGAGTAAATTAGCAGCAATAATGTTGCACGGCATGTGTGACGGGAAACGAAGCCACGAGCCTGAGCGAGTGAAGATTGCTAGATTGATCCCGCAAAAAAAGAAGATTGGTAGATTGGGTTTGAAGAATTGAAGAAGCAATCAAACTAATAGCCACGGGAAAGGTCCTTCCATCAGAAAAAAAAAACAGCCACGGCTCGGCGCAAACACATGCACACATGTACAGCCGATCCGTAATCTGGAACGCATTGAACTATGTGTGCTTTTATTGGGCTTCTAATCTAATGGATATTACGGATGGGCCTCTCAGGCCATTTTTGTTTTCCATCAGTATTGGGCTTGTACGGATGTACCAAAGCCTTTAGCAAGCGTATATATATGGTCTGGGTCGGGGCCCCAGGCCGTCGCCCCTGCTGCCCTGGCCCAGGGCCAGCCCTGCCCATCTGCCATCCATGAACTATAAACCCAACACACATTTCATCATCTTTCAAATACCGTTAATGCAGACCACAATCTGCATTTGCTTCTGGACTATCTTTTAAAATACACAATTCATCGGTCGTTTTCCTTTACAGCTCAAAACCAAGTGTGGATGGTACTAGTATTATACACCTGTAAAATAAATACAGGTATTCTGTATAAAAATACCCCATGCCAAGCGCGGCCGAAGTTTGTGATGATGCCCCATCAACCGCATCCTAAGGGCTGAGGCCGTTGACCAAAGGAGTCCAGTGCTCCACCACTCCACGAGAGCTGCGGATAAGATAAACTTGTGGTCTTGTACGATGAGCGGCCGCGATGTCGCCTCCCCGGCGCCGGCCGACGCCTCCGCCATATGCGCTCAGATCGCGGCCGTCTTCGCCGCGCCATCCGCGCACCCCCCGGCGCGCGCCGTCCTAGTCTCTGAGCTCGCCGCCGCGTCCTCCCGGGGAGGCCGCGTGTTCGTGCACGGCGTCGGGCGCGAGGGCCTCATGATGCGCGCCCTCTGCATGCGCCTGGCGCACCTCGGCCTCCCCGCGCACTGCGTCGGCGACGTCACGGCGCCGCCCGCCTTATCGGGAGACCTCCTCGTCGCCTCCGCGGGACCGGGCGCGTTCTCCACCGTCGACGCCATCTGCGGCGTGGCGCGAGGCGCCGGCACGCGCGTGGTGCTGCTCACCGCGAGGCCGGAGGGAGATTTCCCTGGGCGCCAGGCCGACGTGGTGGCCCACCTCCCCGCGCAGACCATGGCTGACGACGAGGATGGCGCGGCGGCGCAGGCGAAGCTGCCGATGGGGAGCCTGTACGAGGGGGCCATGTTTGTGCTGTTCGAGATGGTGGTGCTCGAGCTCGCGGGTGTTCTGGGCCAAAGCCCGGCCCAGATGAGGGCCCGCCACACAAACTTGGAGTAGTCCGATGCTACAGCTTTTATATTGAAAAAAAAGTGACAGAATGTGACCAACCGATGCTTTTGAGTCTTCATGAGTTTGTATAATATAGTTGCTTTTAACTCTAGTCTAGCAACTAGTACCCAATCCTCTATTCCAGGCAAAGTTTTTGCCTTGAGATTCAGCCACTTGGATGAAAGTGACTCTTGGTGAGTTTTGGGTTTGCCGCGTGGTATTATTTTGGTACACGGCGGTGTACAAACGCCTTGTGGATTCGGTGTTTTGATTCAAATTTTTTAAACTAGCGTCATGTTTCTTTGGGTTGGTTTAGCAATTTTGATTGCATGTGGGGCAGGCAGGGGACGTGCAGGCCGCCGCTGTCCTGTTGATCTGCTTGCATGGGCTCTGTCGTGCGGCAGGCTACGCGCATCCTTCTGCGTGGCTTCGTGCATGTGCGGACTGACTTTTGTTGTTCTTTGTTGTCGTTGCGCTGCGATCGTTTGTTTGCATCTATCCTCTCGATCCTCTCCGCGTGTCTGGTCGTCGTCTCTGGAAGGCCCCAGCAAAATCGAAGCACACCGCCACCGCCGCACAAGCCTATATATAAGAACAGGCTCTCTCCTTCCCAGCGGCAGCGTACGTCGGCCACCGTAGTCATCTACATGCCCAGAACGGCCTGGCGCCACTACTCGAGGACACCTCGAAGCTCCCGTCGTTGCTGCCGCGTTTCGTCCCCAAGCCCCAGTCCAGCGGGAGGACGCCTCCTGCGCCGTCACCGTCCATAGGTCTGCCCCAGCACCGTTACTGGCGTCTCTCGGTCATTGTCGATGAACCGCACGGTATGGTGCGTCGTCAATGATGCATCTTGCTTAGGCAGGACCGCAAGGACGGCGAAAATGGTGTTGAGGAATCTTGCGAGCCGCGCGCTGGGGGAGGACGGCTTGCGGAAGTCCCTGAGCTTGGCGCGGAAGGAGGAGCTCGCCTCGTCCGACGAAGAGGCGATGACGACGGGGTCGCTAGGATCTCCCTGCAGCGGGGCGGCGGCAAATCATAGGCGCGCCGGAGCCCACGAGCCGGAGCGGCGGTCGAGGGCGGCGACGGCGCCCGAAGCGCCGTTCCACGTGGCTGCTCAAGCCTACGGCCATCTTGGGCTGCGGAGAGGCGGTGCCGTGGGCGCGCTCCATCCTCGTTCACCGCGGAGCGCATCGGCACAGGAGGAAAAACAAGGCGGGTTGTGGCTTGAATCGACAAACTTGGTTGCGGGCATCTGCATGAGCCACTCCACCGACGGAGGAGGGGGTCGAGGCGAAGCCCAGGGGGCTGCCGGAGGCGCGAGGGCGGCCTCGTGCACCATGGGGCGCTTGGGCCAGCCACCAGCCAGCCAGGGGTCAAGCCCCACGTTCACTGGCGGTCCGCGTGCACTACATGCAGCGGCGGCCGAGGCCACATCCAAGGGCGTGGTGAGCACCGCTGGGGCGCGTCCAGCCGAGCAGTGGCCACCACAGGCTCCAGTCTAGCGGCGCGGTGACCGCCACAGAGGCCACATCCAGCGGCACGGCGACCGAAGTGACTGATGGCCTGGATGCAGCGACGGAGGCCACCAACTCCATGGCGGCGACGAAGCGGACGGCACCAGCGACCGTCCTCGTGGATCGGGTGGAGGAGGAAGGAAATGAGGCCGGACATCTCACCGGCAAGTTTCAATCTTTTCCTCCTCTCTCCTTTGCTCTTTGGTAGAGCTAACGTGGCTGATAACGTGTTCGAGATCAAAAATGAAATCTCTGTCATTGATCGATTGAGAGTACAACTTATATATGTGCTGGAGAGACGCGACGATCCAGAGGGATGCGCTTGATTGTCCATGTTTGACATCAATTGCACGAGGAATCGATCAGTGCAGTATTTCATATTACAGTGTTTGATTGAGTGATGCAGGTTAGCCTAATTCAAAATAAAATGGTTTGACTGAATTCACTCCTCATTTTTATATCAGATCTTTCTTTTATTTCCACTAGATCTATTTTATTTACAGGTTGTAACTTAAGTGGAGATGTTGAACTTCCAAAGGACGAGAGCATGATGCCAGGGAAATCCATAATGGTTTGTTAAATTACTGTTTGCATTGATTATTTGTTCCCTCTTAATTTGCTATGTTCAAGGCAATTGAATTTCTGTTTCCTGCAAAAAAAAGGTAATTGCATTTTTGTTTCCCCCCAAAAAATGCAATTGAGTTTCTACTTCATGGTCAACAATTAAACATAGCATATATAGATTTATCTAGGGGTATGACATTTTTTTATTATTCTCAACCAATTGTAAGTATGGCAACAATGGCTTATCGGTAAGCATTTTGTATAGATTAACTCCCACGAAAATACGAGAAGTTAAAAAAACATAAATCAATGGATATATAGATGTACCATTTCTACTTTGAATGAAATGAAAAACAATAATTTGGTGTCTGCCCATATAAAAAATTCAACAAAACCAACACATAGATTTTCTTCTCACCACATAGAAGTATTCAACATAATGCACAAATAAGACGTGTTTTTCTTGTTTCTAGAGATTTTTTACATTCTTCGACTGCTTAATCAATGGAGGACACTTCAGATGTGGGGGGACGGGCTGTGTACGCGTGTGGTGTGTGTGTGTGTGTGTGTGTGTGTGTGTGTTGCATTTTCATTGTGATTTGGATTCCGGGTCAACAACACGTTCTATCGGGTGGTAGTTCCTGTTTTATCTTTTTTTAGGGAGTTCCTGTTTTATCAGGTATATCATGCAGGGGGTAAGCGACCGTGTCACAAGATGTGACCACATGCTTGTGCTAATTGTTTACTTTCCAATCGTTTTTTGACTACTTACCTAATACTACTTTGTCCCATAATATAAGACACTTTTGCAAGGTAACATAATTTACAAAAACGTCTTACATTATGGAACGGAGGGAGTAGCATTTAGATTATAAGCAAAAAAAGATGAGTTCAAATAAATACATGTACCCCTAGACACATGCTCAATCGTCCAATGAATAAGTTGTATAGTTGTTGTAATTCACAATTTTCTCTATCTCACATGTATAAAGAGGCACAATGTATTACAACGTACCAAAATGTAATAAAAAAGACCATATACAACTAAAGTATATTTACTTACACAAATAGACAAACAAATTACTTCCAAAATGAACTAAATAATCAAAAAATCATGCACATAATCCTTTCGGTCACCATAAACATAATTTTTGTGTGCCGGTCATAGAATAGATCACACATACTTTACCATTATCAGTAACAATCATATTTATCATATAGTTGAAGCAATCAGATAATCCCGATTTCAACACATGAATGTGTCCACACCAAGCAATGGGAGTTCAACACGGCCCACCAGTAAATAAATACTCAGCAAAATGAATACACAAGACAGAGAAAGATCTTAGCAAAATATGCAACCATTTTTTGGACATCATACTATTGCACATGTATCCTCGACACCCAAAACCTAAATATTCAATTATCTCATACACCGGTGCCAAACCACCACAAAATTATGTGCATTAATCGCAATAGCTCTGTATCACTTTATCACAACCCAAATGCTGCTTGAGGCCACACTAGAATAATCTATGAATGACTACAACATGTTCGATCTTCTATTCGCAATGTGTACTTCCCACTTTGTAAAAATATATTGATAATGAGATGATTAAATCTATGTTTTAAAATTTGCTTGCAGACATTATATTACTTGCCTTTGGCCCACTATATGGTTTTTGTCTTAAGTCCGAATTCGTCAATAAAAGAAAAGGGCAACCCAACATTACTACCATGTAACACGTTTCGTCATGATGCATCAACGGGGCGCGGCGTGCCGCCGCGCGGGCTTTGCTAGTATTATCCTATGTATCAAATTGTTGTGCATCCGATAGGTGTACGAGCAGTTCCTATGCACCGTCTGATGTGTTAGTGAACAACATATGAACGGATTGTTGTAGTACCGGGCACTTGTTGTTAGAATAAATCCGAAGCATATCGTCAGTTATTTAAGGATCAAGCAATCACACAAACACAACACCGAGATTTGTTAACGAGGTTCACCGATATGGATACATCTCCGGGGCTTGACTACGGGCGCTCCTTCTCATGACACCATCACAATACCGCACACCGCCCACCCGGGCGCCGGCACATGCCGCCGGCTCCCCCTTGCGCGCCTGTGCTATTATGTTGCCATAGGTTACATCGTGTGTCTACCCCCGCTATATATGAGAGGCCTAGGATACAAGTGTCATATTAGGACACAACTCCACATCCTATGTAAACACAATACAACTCCTAGTCCAACTGTAACCTACCTTGTACACAATATTTGACACAATTCTAACAAACTCCACCTTGGCGAATATTCTCCACCTCCTTGAATTCGTCAATGCGTCAAACTTTCATGTACATTGGACTTGAGTTTATCCCATGAGTACCGTTGCTACTCCAAAGACTTCATACGACTCCACTTGCAATTTGTAGTCCCTCCTTTTTTTGACCACAGTCAACAGTCGAGCAAAATTAAGTTCCTTGTTACTCCAGTTTGTGCTCCCAACTTCCAGAGTATCTGTCCAACGCCATCACACACTGATCACTGACCTGGGTGAAACTGAACAACTCACATATTGGGTGTCACACATAAGAGTTACCTGAACTCAACGCCACAGCTCCTTTCTTGACCGTCTGTCTGAAACTTGAAAGAATTTCACCGTTACTTGTAGTCATCCCGAGTCAAATTTGCAGTTGTCTCACCACATGTATGACCACCAGAGCCCTGGCCCGTCTCCATGCCCCGTGCATACCGCACGCCCCGCCGCTATTACCGCGTCGAGTCTCCGCTGTCCCGGTCGAGTCTCAAGGGTCACAAAACCACACCACTCAACCTCCACTTCAGAGTACCACCGATCACCACCGACCGATGACGAGTTTCACGCTTCCATCAGACCACTGGGCTCCAGTTCGAACTGCATGTCACTCACT